CATCTACATAAGCAGTAACCTTTTCAAAGAATGTTAAAAGACTTGTAAGGCAAGATTTTTCCTTATCAAAACCATGTTGACTATCCAATAAAATTCTAAACTTTGCTAAATGACTTTGCAAAGCATCTTTTAACAGACTTTCCAAAAATGTTCCCACAACTGATGTAAGACTAATGGGTCTATAATTACTGGGACAATTTTTTATCACCTCCCTTGAAATGAGGAGTTACATTAGTTCAAACTTCTAATCCTCTGGTACTTGCCCACTATTCAAGGACTGACAAAAAATAGCAAGTGGCTTACATATCCAATCTTTAACCTCCTTCAAAACTTGGGGAAATATTATCTGGCCCAGGAGCCTTATGATTTTTTAAACTTCCCAATTTTTTCTCAACCATCTCAGAATTAATGCAGTCATCTTGTTTGATTAGGTTGCAAAAAAGGATTCTACCTTCACTTGTATACATATTACAATAAATGTATAAAATACACACCTGTCTAACTTCATTATGAAATTTGCCTAGAATGATGGTGAGATTTCCAACATTGTCATTCACAGTCACCCTCCTTGCAGTGTAGTATTCCTTGAATACTTTTACAGCTCCTTTGATTATGTTTTTACTACTCATACTGCCCTTTTCTTCAACAAGACTCTGTAGCTCTTCGTATGGGAGTAACTGAAATTTTAAGCCATTAGATATATCTGCATTCATTTTGTTGGTCTGAGCAAATTGCTTGTAATGTGGCCTAAATGAATAAGTGTGTTTTCACTGTGCTGCAAAAAAATTGCCATCTGCAAAGTTCTGTTACAACATCGTACAAACATGGCAATAGTCTTGGCAGCCAGGAAATAGTCAATGGTTCTGTTCATCGGTTTCTGAAGGCAGTATTGAAAATGTGTCATACCATATGATGCACTCTTGGCAAATCATGTTGAAGAACTCATGTTGAGGGTAGAATAATGTTTAATGGGAAACACTACTGTCTTATATACTTCTATTGGTCCATAAGTTTTTTACAAAGGTTTTGCCAATCTGTAAAGTAAAGATATTGGGAACCATTGAGTTAGGTATATGGGTATAAAAAGCTACATTTAACATGATTTAGATGTTTTTGTAGTTGAATGGTGAAAGTAATGAGTGAGAATGTTTTATGTTACTTTTTACTTTATTGTGCTTTTAAGTATGAAATTTTGGATCATCTTCCACTTTGTAACAATTTTTATACAGTTTTTATGTAAAATGTGTTTTTAGCAATATAATTTCCATTGATACTTTTATTTGCTATTATGAGGTTATTAACTCTTTCCAGGCCAGGCATTCTAGTTATTACCTGGAGAAAATGTGAAACATCAAGTTTGAAAAATTATTTATAATGTATCCCCACAAATTTCTTCTAAAATAAAATTAAAATTTATGTCAGTTTTTTTTAAGATTTGTTTTGGATGAAATAATTAAAAAAGAAATTGAAATTGTAGCCCTAATCATCAGTTTTTGACATCCTGTTGAAATTTTTATTAAGATGTTGAAAATCATTAAGTTTCTCATTTGTGCAGAGAAAACTTGTCAATAGATAAAACAAAGTCAAAAATGTGTAGACTTAAAAAGTTTGAAGTATAATTTTTAATGAAGTAGTTTGAAAACAGTGAATTTTTGAAGCTAATGATATTTTTCGTCATAACTTTCTCATTTCTAAAACTGTTGAAATCATAAATATATCATCTGATGTTTGTGGTTATTTACTGTCTTACAATCTATTTGATATATAGCTTCTATCCTTTCTTACTATGGTACACAAAATTTAAATGTTGTTACAACACATCAGATCGAGTGAATGCATCTGTAGGTGGTATTGGAGTTTTTTCTGTCATTTAGTTATGGTACTCTCTTATTTGTAAGCCATGTGAAGATACTAAATTAATTTAGTGAGTTTCCCTGAGTGTTTGTTTATTTTACTATGGTTAGTGTTTTGACAGTTAATTTTTTGTATTCAATAACTTTAATTTTGTAACTCAAGTCCGAGAATACTCCATCAATGAACACTTGGATCATATTTTGCTCTTAGTCAAAGATAAGTAATGTAACGTCATTTTGAACACATGTTAGATATATAATTATACCTAAGTCATAAATATGTTTTATATTTAAAATAGATTGGGATAAATACTCTCAGTTTTTATTGGTTTTAATGCTTTAGATGATTTTTATTTCACCATTTCTTTCAATAAATTGGTGTAGCATACACATCATTAGGCCTACTTATGCTTTTAACACATGTAACAATATAGTATATAGCTATGCTATATAGTGGTTTTGATTGTATCGTAAATCTTAAGTTGACCAAAAAAAATCAATTTTTTGTTTAAAAAGGTATAATAAATATCACATCATGTACTTGAAATGTGTGTTTCAGATTTGTTGACATTTATGAGTTATAAACCTGGTGAAGTACCAAAGACCTGCAATTAAGAGTTAAGGAAGGATTACACCATGTTTTCTAAGGAAGTTTACACTGAGTTTTAATATTTGACAAAAACATATAGCTTAATTGTTAATAATGTAATACATGTATGAGTTTGCTAATTATAATAAAAAAATATTTTAACATACAGAGTTTATTTATAATTTCACTTTGTATTCAACTTTTATCATATTTTTTTAAATATTTTATTTAACAGATTGAAGAAAAAATCAACAAGTTCCTCCAAGATCCTAGTCAACATAAGCACAAATTTTCATCAATGAGTAAAGTTCTTCGTAGTGTTATGTAAGTTGCCATAAAAAATCAGAAATTGATATGTGTTTGTTTGTGAAATTCAGTATTTTTACGTACATCTACAAATCGTTAAATAAAACCTTATCAAATTAAAATGTGTAGCAAGTGATTGAGATGAGGTACAAATGAAAGACAAATATTACTCATTCTCTATCTATTGTTAGGATTTATATCTTTAAGTACATTGGAACCATATAGTTTTTAGTTACAGAAAGAACAAAGTAACAATATTTTGCCCCTCATACATACTAACCAATATTAGATTAGCTATTAACGTCATGTAACTGGCTTTTAATTTGGAAAATATCCTTTATTCTACAAAAAGTAAAAACTTGTTGTATTCTCAGCACTTTACCAATGAGTATTCTTCCCTTATTGGTGCTGTTAGTTACTGTATTCCCAATGATATGTTTTAAATTAGATGTTAAGATACAAGAGCTCAATTCTAACTTTTAATGTTTTAGTGTTAATTTGCATTATTTTATGGTTAATATACAATACATTTCAGTTTACCCAAAGAATAGTTTGATTTCGGTCCACTTAACATTGTAGTGCTGTTTCATATGGAACTGAAGATGTATCACCCAGTATCTTTTCTTTCTTCAAATTTATAAATAGTTTGCTAAAGGCAAATACATTGGTTTTATAATTTTTTTGTCAAATATGATTCTATTATTGAAGGAAATAGAAAATTTTTTTTTTTAGTTTAACTTTTTTTTTTTCTTTGATTAATAATTTTTCTTCATATTTTACAGCCATGATGCTGCTGACATTGCAGGACTTACTGCATTTTCTTTTGGAGAAGAGGAAGTTGACAGATATGTTATGCTATTCAAAAAGGTATACTTAAGTTTATATATATATATACTACCGTACAGCCCGTCAAAAAGGATGGGGCAAGTATTGCCAACCCCACCCCATAGTATACCCTAACCTCATATTTCATGGCCCAAATGACATAAGACATAAAATTTCAAATTGTACTATTTTACAAAGATCTGGATTATTGTGTGCAATCCAGAACAAGTAATATTATTACACATAGTCAGTTAAAAAGTTTTTGTAAAAACGTGATGACTATTAAGCAAGTGAACCTTTCTGAAAACTTATAGGTATCCGTTCAAACCACTTACCTTTCAGTTCCATTTCAAGGGTAAAAAAAAGTAATGTTGGAACTCTATTGACAGATGTCTTTTCATACTTGTTTTGAAAGTTTTACTAGTGTAATCCCCCAGTTTTTTATCATTAGGAGTTCAGAGTACACATTGTAGGGGGAAAAGTACCATTTTGGTCCTCTCCCATGTTTGATTCCCATCAGCTCGCAAAGTAGTTAATTATCAGGACTGAAATTGGGTGGAATAATAAACAAGTATGCTAACTACAAATACTGTAATTTTCAAGTCAATGGACCCACATATCACAATTTAATAGAAACATGAAAACTGTAATTTTTCTACAAACCTATGCATTTTTCAATATTTTAGACCAAGTTGTAGTTAAAAATCTGGTGAATTAACTGAGTTAGGGTACAGGGTATGAATTTTATGACTCCAACTCCGCTGATTTTCATGGAACCATTCCCGGAATTTAATAAAATTTGCCCTGACTGGCTCTTGAGACAGTTTTCAGTGGCACCCTCTTCTGTTTTCAGAAAAGTGGTAGGTACCAAATATCTTCCATATAGAGTATTTTTGATGTAGTTTCCATGTACCAAGTTTTAGTAAAGTAGTTTTCACACTAACTGAATTACACAAGTTTAAATGACAAATGCATAGTTTTTAGAAGAATTACAGTATTTCTGGTTAACATATATGTTTGTGATTCCACTATCATTTCAATTCTGGAAACAAAATAATATTTTAGGTGGCAGAGACCAAATATGGCAGGAAGTGCCAAAATGGCACTTTTTCACTCTACCATGCATACTTTGACCTATTTGTGACAAAAAACTGGAGGAATATCAAGTAAAACTTGACACAAGCTCAGGCATATTATTTTATACTCTTGCATACGGTAACAGGAGTGCACGTGCGCTTCGTCATTGCAACTTCTGTAATGTTAGCCAGGCACACCTGAAAGGTCAATATAATAAAAATAATAAATATACATAAAGGTATAATGTCATGAGATTTAAGCTGTATAGACTAAACATTTGTGTTATAATTTGTAGTCATTCTAGAACAAAAAAGCATAATGTATATTTATTTTATTATTTTTTATGGTGGTTACGAGGTCGGTCAAATCGACATAAAGGTATAATGTCATGAGATTTAAGCTGTATAGACTAAACATTTGTGTTATAATTTGTAGTCATTCTAGAACAAAAAAGCATAATGTATATTTATTTTATTATTTTTTATGGTGGTTACGAGGTCGGTCAAATCGACTGTACCCGTATAGAGATTCGATAGTGAAAATAACAGATAAAATTTCAAGTTTTTTTTAAAAACATTTGATAATTATCTGGAGGCTATAAAGATTTCACATGTGAAATTTGAAAATTTTCTGATGTATAAAAGTATTTTTAATCTTAAAATCAAAATTACTTTGTATGTTGAATAATCAGCATTTGAAAAGAAAAAAAGGCATGAGAAAAACATTACTTGAAAAATCTTAAAACTTAATAAAAAAAAATGATATTTTGCATGCGAAAGCCTTGTAATGTTTACTGATAGTCTACAAAATTTGTGAAGATACGCTTGCTAATTTAAAAGTTATAGCATGAATACTCAAACAAGCACAAAATGGTTACGAGGTTGGTCCATGGGACCAAGCCTGTGCTGAAAGAGTTAATCAGAAGTACAAGTAATGAATGACTAGAGGTTCCAAGTCTAAAGGTCATACAGGGATCTGACTTAAAGGATTCATGAAGGTTTTGCTTAATAAACACTTACCAGACTTCTAAACACAGATGTTTATGGCTTAATGTTACAGCTAATAAATATAATTTAAATGTGATTGTCATTTAAAATATTACGATTTTAAGGTTATCCTGCTACCTATATCAATGTTGTCAAAGATAGAAGTCAGTACTGTCTAATTTTAAATATTTAATCATTGAGTGATTGATCACTAAGTTTGTATAATTTACTGATACTCCTTAGTTTAAAATATTAAATTTATTATTCTTTATTTATTGTAAATACTTAGAAACTAAAATATATATTTTGTGGTAGCTTAATTTGAGCTTTTTAAAAAATCATGAAAGTGAAAATTTCCAAATTAGGCTAATCCAAATGTAGGATACATCACTAAACTGTGTTAAAATTACCAGGTTTTTATATATCATCAGGTTGTAAATATGGTGGGAAATTGGTGTTTGGTTTTCTCTTATTAGCAGTTTGGGACCACTATACATGATTTTATATATATATCTTTGTATGGCTACTTGAAGATCTAGCCCCAGAATGTGAGTTGAAACACTACTTTGTAGTTTTATACCATAATTCTTCACAAATTTTGTCAAGATGGGTGGGGGAGTACAGTAGAGAATATAGTCATTCAGGATGTTCCAAAGAATAGTGGTAGTACTTTTGTTCAAAGTTTGGTTAGTGTTGATAACTTTGTACATTACCACTTCTTTGTGTTCTCTTTTAATATCTGGATGTTGCCTCTCATTCTCTCCAATATCATGAGTTGAATTTCTAAATAAGTATTTTAGGACATATACTTAATTCTTTGTTTTCATTTACCACAGTTTTGGTCAGGGTTTGAAATTCTCAATATGCACAAAAACATGAAGATTATTTTCTATGTAAAGATGTAGGAGATCATATTAATGTTTATTTTTGTATTAGATTCATGTGCTATTGTCTTATGATTTTTAGTAGAATTCCTCAAAATCTTTAAAGTATTATTAGAGGTAACTTTTAATTAAAATCCTGAGGTTCTTACTTTCAAATACTTTTCTTTGTTTTTAGTTTCACAGATCATCTATGTTCAGGTTTCTTTGGTAAAAAATATTTATTAAAAGATAATGTAGAATGATATTTGATTTTTATACTAAATCTGTGGCAATGTGATGCAAAACTAATGTCATAAATAAAGCAAAAATTTATATAAGAAATCTAATTTTGATAGTAATGAATCCATTTTTATAGGAGTTTGCTCCTTCAGAAGATGAACTTCAAGCATACCGTAGAGGTGAAGATTGGAACCCAGAGAAAGCTAAAGAAGTAGCAAAACAAAAAGTTAGTTTTATTATATTTGTTTAAATCTATTCTTAAATTGTGGAAACGTAGGTACAGTACATTCTTTGTGGGCTTCAGGGAGTGCAGTTCTAGTTTGCTCTGTTTAGACTGGAACATCTCAGCAACTTGTATACATATCTATATATATATATGTTCTTCCTCTTCTGTTGGATTGAAAGACAGGTTGACCTATATTTCTACAGAACACCAAACAGGGTTTGAACAGGTGCTGGAAAACTGGAAAGTTCTGGATAATTGTTAATTCAATTTTTAGGTCTGGAAAGTGTTGGAAAAAGAATAATACACAAGTAGACAAAGATACCTGTAAAACTAAAATGTCTTCATCAAAATATTTTTATCTAGAAATTTTTAAATGTCTGTAAAAAAAACATTTCTTTACCCAAGTGTTTTAAGTACTGCCTTTCACACTTATCCACTTCTCTTGTCACAGTTACATGAGCTTTAGAATGATTTAACAGGATTTCATGATTCAAAATTCTTAGTGTGCCTCTGAAATTTTGATTCACAAGGTGAGATGTAGGTATAGATAATTAGGTATTTAAGTGATTGGCTGTGGAAAGCAATGTTATGTTATTCATGTGAGTCAAGCTACTACTGCATAGGTTAACAGCCTGTGCAGTTAGATCATGATGTTACTTTGAGCCTTCACAAGAGCGATGGAATTGTTGCCATGCCTTAATGTTTCAGTAACAGGTTCTTTGCTTTAACCATTACTGTTGTTCAGAAACCACTGAAATAATACTAGACAATAATAAGTTAAAAAAGCAGTATATCACATATTATAATTAATAAAATATTTAAATGGTTAAATTCAGAGTCACTGCACAAGCCAAGAAAGAGTACTCTCTGTTTCAGATTACAACAATCAATGGGCATCATGTATTTTTGCCGTTGTGCATATTATATTTTGCTTTTTACTTTTTGTTGTTTTATCAAATGTATTATTCCCCAAGGGTTTGGCAGGATTGGATATGTGACAGTGGCATAGCAAGGGTTCTCAGCACTCCGGAACAAAGACACTTTTGGCGCCCCACCTTTAAAATGTTTTGATTATTTGTTTTGTGACTCATTACCCACTTAATG